GTCATCCAACGCTTTACATCGTCCACGCACTCCTGTATGCGAAGGATTGTGGCATCAAGTTGATCAGGAAAGCAAGAGTCACTGATTTGAGTGTCATCAGCAAAGGATTGACTGGAAACTGAGTGGTGGCTAATGAGAGATGATAGAGGTTTAGTGTAGAGGATGAAAAGGACCGGCCCAAGGACCGATCCTTGAGGAACTCCAATAGACAGGGCTGAAGGTTTGGAAGAGCGGTTGGAAATAGAGACTTTTTGAGTTCTGTCAGAAAGATATGATTGAAACCAGTTTAAAGCTGAGCCAGTAAGTCCGAAAGAAAGATGAAGGCGGTCAAGAAGAATCTGGTGGTCAATGGTATCAAATGCAGCAGAGAGATCTAACAGAGTGAGAATAGAGAGTTTGCCATCGTCCATCGCGCGCAGGAGGTCACTCATGACTCGGACCAGTGCTGTTTCTGTGCTATGACCAAGTCGGTAGGCGGACTGAGAGGAAGGATAGAGATTGCGAGAATGAAGATAGCCAGAGAGCTGAGAGAGTATGAGTTTTTCTATGATTTTTGAGAGAAAGGAGAGGTTGCTGACGGGGCGGTAATTCTTGAGTGTGTTTGGATCAAGTGAGGGTTTCTTTAGGAGGGGCAGGACAATCGACCGTTTAAAAATGGGAGGGAATATGCCAGAGAGAATCGAAGAATTTATGATGGAGGTGAGTGCTGGGAGGAGGACGTCAAGGCATTCTACAAGCAGTGGGACGGGGATAGGATCGAGGGCACAAGACTTGGGAGCAGACCTGATGATGACTCGCCTCACCTCATCCTCAGTCACAGGCAGAAAACTATCAAATGATTCTGTCTGACTAACGTCCTCCGAGAACGGTGAGGAAGGTGTAGGGGTCACGCTGTCTAGCTCCTCCCTGATCATTTGCACCCTGGTGATGAAAAAGTCCGCAAAGGCGTCAGGGAGTTGCTCTGGTGCAATGTCGGTAGGGAGGGTGAAATTCTTGCTATTGCCAAGGAGACGGTTACTAGCGCTGAACAACGCCTTGGTTGATGCACATGATTCGACCTTTGAGCTCCAGTAGTCATCCTTTGCCCTCTGTACAATCTCTGCCACCGCATCTTTCGCTGTCCAAAAGATCTGTCTGTCGACACTCAGTCCAGTCTTTACCCAGCGTCTTTCAGCGCGTCTTCGCACGAGTTTTGCCAGACGGAGTTGGTCACTAACGCCTGCATACCATGGCGACGAGCGACCAGTCGGGACACGTCGCGCCATGGGAGGGGCGTGCTCGTCCAAAAGTGCTCGGAGGCCATCGTCCAGATGCTGAGCGCTGAGCTCAGTACCGAGACCTTGAAGCATTGTCTTAATGCCGGCTTTGAAGGCTGCTCTGTCTATAGCGTTTATGTCACGCACGTTCCTGTAGACAGGTGGGTTCTTTGGGGGAACTACATTGATATCCGCAGCCGCGCTAATTTCCTGGCTGCACTATTTTACTAGCCTTAAAATAGTCATACTAATCAGTTTCGTACAAACAAAAGAGTGAAACAAAGTATGGGAAAACTTAAAAAAAAAGCACGCTATAAAATAACGAACGTGTCGGCAAGACGCCTTCTTCACCGGACAAACAACAGTAAAAACAATATAAAAAAAAATAAACAATTAGCTGCAATGTCAATGTAGTATCCGAGATGTCGGCAAGAGGAATGGGATAAAAATCGGTGACAGTAAGGCCTACTATTTACTTCTCTTCTTAATTAAATACTTCCTTTCAACTCACAAATCTGCGGTGTTTGTAATTGTGTAGTGGTGTGGCCTATTTTGTGTTGTCAAGCGTGACCTTCTTGCTCAGTTGCTCCAGCATATATATATATATATATATATATATATATATATATACTTTTTGTAAAGTTATACCCTCGAAGGCGAGTTTAAGTGCACTAAAACGTAAAAAAACAATTTTCTTAAAATTAATTGCTTGAGGAAAAAAGTAGACTATGTTTTGTATAAAAAATATATTCAAATTAAAAAAAAAAATAAAAAAAAAAAAAATAAAATATATTCAAGTTTCATCTAAATTTAACAAGAATCTTTGGCTTCATAGAGTGCATTGCCACCCCTCTGCCGCCGGTACAGGCTTTCTTTGAGTAATGAATTTAAGAAATTTTAAGAAAATTATTTTCTACATTTTAGTGCACTCGTCTTCAAATTTGAAATTATTTTTTAAAAATTTGTAAATTTGTAAATTTAAAATATACTTTTAGTTTAACGCGATAGTTGTATACATTTTTCACATTGGGGTTGAGTAGGGTTCCCAGATAGGTGGACACAAAAAGGAGGCCATGATAAAACAAAAAGGAGGACACAAAAAGGAGGCCATGATAAAACAAAAAGGAGGACAAAGGAGGACATGATAAAACAAAAAGGAGGACAAAGGAGGACATGATAAAACAAAAAGGAGGACAAAGGAGGACATGATAAAACAAAAAGGAGGACAAAGGAGGACATGATAAAACAAAAAGGAGGACAAAGGAGGACATGATAAAACAAAAAGGAGGACAAAGGAGGACATGATAAAACAAAAAGGAGGACAAAGGAGGACATGATAAAACAAAAAGGAGGACAAAGGAGGACATGATAAAACAAAAAGGAGGACAAAGGAGGACATGATAAAACAAAAAGGAGGACAAAGGAGGACACGATAAAACAAAAAGGAGGACAAAGGAGGACACGATAAAACAAAAAGGAGGACAAAGGAGGACACGATAAAACAAAAAGGAGGACAAAGGAGGACACGATAAAACAAAAAGGAGGACAAAGGAGGACACGATAAAACAAAAAGGAGGACATGATAAAACAAAAAGGAGGACAAAGGAGGACATGATAAAACAAAAAGGAGGACAAAAGAGGACATGATAAAACAAAAATGAGGACACAAAGGAGGACGTTTTGAATTTTTCATTTGAGTCGTCCCGGATTAAACTCATTGGCAGCGATATTTTATTGTAATAGCTGCCAATTAAGTGTATCCTACTTTTAGAGTGCATCGACCAAGAAACAGCCACGTTAAAAAAAATGCAATGGACGCCTTTTTCTAAATATGAAAAAACACCATTTAAATAACCAATAGTACAACTATTACCTTATAATCTTATCAATTATATTAATTGGGGTTGGCCTCTACTCTACAATACTATTAAATTATTACAATAATTTATATATGCTCACGGCGATGCTATACTTATACATTATCATTAATTATAAAGTAACTATAATTGGTTCCCATTCATAAGCTGAAGCTAATTAATTTTTCGTTTTCGCACCAAGGATTTAAAAATAAACATTTAATGAAAATCTCTTTAGATATTATTAAGTTAAATGATAAAAATAGCCATTTCCGACAACCCATTTTTTTGTATGAGGGGAGATGACTATTGGCAACTGAAATTTTAATTTTCTTGCACATTCCACGGGAAAATTCATAACTTTTTTTTTTTTTTGGTGGGTTGGGCATTGCTATTATTAACCAAATAGAATTATTAAGAATTGGGAATAAATGAAGCAGTCCTGCGCTATAGAGCTCTATATTTACCGTACTATTTAACATTTAAAAAGTAATAAGACTATGAGTACATACCGATCTCTAATATTAAATGCACAACGGTCACAAAATCCACCGTGCGGCGAAACTGGTGAATAACGCTTAGGAAAACATGATTTCTACGTCACTGATGATCAAACAATTAATTATTTGAAAACTGACGAAAAACTCAAAAGAAAAACTAAACAAACATCACCAACCAGCCAAATGCTACATGGGGGCCGTCCATAAAGTGCGTCACGCTATTTTTGACCATTTTTACCCCCCTCTCCCCCCAAGTACATCACACTTTTGAACAATTAAAAAAAAAATTAACACCTACCGCATTTATTGGCCTATAACACGCACTTTTTCTCCCTGAAAATAGGGCGCCAATGATGTGTGCGTGTTATAGGCCGATATAATGTTTAGTATTTTTCCCTGAAATATCCTACTTCTATTGAGGTGCGTTTATATACGCGGGGGCGTGTTATACGCGGGGGCGTGTTATACGCGGGGGCGTGTTATACGCGGGGGCGTGTTATACGCCTATAAATACTGTACTTAAAATTTAATCTAAAACGCACTTCACTATTAAACTGTATTAAAATATAAAATTGCCACCTAAAAGAACTATCACATTTGAAAATGACTTTAATAGTAGAATAGTTAATTGTCAACAGTTGTCACAGTTATTCATTGAAGCAGTAATTCAATCTAGATTGAATTTGAAAACAACAATTGAAAAAATTAGAATGTGTTATTTACAATTCCTCTCGCTAGGAGCGCTAGTATGCTGTTGCGAAGCCTTGCTTTTGTCATACCTGAAGGATTATTATTTCTATGACTCCGCTGCATAATTATGTCACTGTCATTTTTATTATTTAATAACTGCGTGGGGTAAAGTTTCGCAAATCTACTTCTAATCCTGTGTAAAAAGAATGCATAATCGGAAGATTATCTAGAACTTGACATCACCTTTTGTAAATAAAAAAGCAGCAGATAAATGATTTTTATTATATAATTAATAATCTTAAAGAATGCGCGTGAGTTTTTCGTTGAGTTAGAGTGACTAAAATCGACTGGTTCGCAGAAATGCATCGACTTTGTACATTGTAACAATGTAAACATACGATGTAATAGTTGCAACAACGATACATACACATTATAATATAAAATGTGAGAAAAGCCGGGCATTTTACAAGATTTTAGCTTTGCCTGCCGGACGGAGGACAATGGGCTAAAAAGGAGGACATGTCCTCCTTTTGCCGGACGTCTGGCAACCCTAGGTTCAGGTGGCCAGTTTGCATTCTCCTGATTGATTAAGATGTGTGAGATCCGATGCCACAAGTAATACTGGAAATTCCCAATCCTATGTATCCACTATAAATAAGGAGCTAGTCTCGTGATGAATGACGTGTTCAGTCATCCCTAACAAATTGGTTGTGAGTATTACTGTGATGTTTTGATTCCTTCAGTTTGTATTTGGACGTGATGAGTTTATGTTTATTTTGGTAGGCAAGTAACTTAATTTAAAGGACAATTGTCGTAACATTGGCATGATCGTGGAGACTAATGATAAAAGCCAAATATAAATGTAATAAGGTGGTCGAATTCTGCTAGCATCTTCTTTAAAATTGCGTTGTTTTTTTGTCAATTAGGTGCTAATTATTAGGTGACTACAACACACATTGTCTTTGTGACAAAGTAATATATTTGTTAATCTAAATAAAATAACTTTCACTTAATTTTTACAATCAATGAATATTTTGATTGTCTCTTTTAAATGTAAATTTAAACGCACCAAGGCCAAGCAATAAATTAAAATTGTCAAATGAAATAAAATATTATTTATTTAATGTAATATAATACTATAAATTAATAAAACGTGATAAGCTTAGTAAAGTATAAAGTAAATAGGTATTCTACTTTAAATTAAATGTTAAAGGATTTTAATTTGATATTGCACGCAGTGGCGTAGCGAGGGTGTTTGGCGCCCGGGGACAAGATTCGCGCCCGGGGACAAGATCCATTTTTAGCGCCCCTTTTTCTTTTTTTCAACTCTCAAACCCATTATTTTCATCAATAAAATAATATCAAAGCACATTTTGGCGCCCCTAACTAGCTGACGCCCGGGGACATCTGCCCCCCCTGCCCCCACCACGCTACGCCTCTGATTGCCAGCACGTTCAGTCCAAGTAGGCCCAACTCGTTGGTTTTATTGACAATGTGAGCTCTATAATTGTATACTTTATGTCATTGTCATGTGAGTCATATAGTTATCTTTGTTATCACACCCCGAATCAACTAGCTTAGTCGCTGCATGACTAAAAAATAGATTGCATTCAATGGATCGAGATTATTTGCTAACCCGGGAACGGCCGAAGGGGTGGTTGAGGGGGGATGCTAAGCGTTTAAAGAAATGTGTTTATTTTTGTTAGACGTCCGTAACCTTATTCAGTAGGCGTTAGGAATGCATGATCTTACTAGACACAGCTGAAAGAAGAGAGGGGCCACATGGTTGGGAGGAGAGTCGGGGCAAACAGCTGGTAGAAAAGTGGGCAAACTAGCTGGTAGCAGAGTGGGCAACATAGTAACCAAAAGAGTGGGAAAACTAGCTGGTGCACTTGGGTGGTAGCAACTGGTAGAAGGGTGGGGCAATATAACTGGTCACGTGCCCTTGCTGGTGGGGTTTCTTGGCCAATGGGTACAAAGAGTAGCGAACTTTATATGAGGGCGCTGTTAGTCAGACTCTCCGGCGATCGCACAGTGGATTTGAATGTTGGCCTCTGGTCGGGACCCCAAACCAACGGCTGGAAAGGTAGGGCTCGGGCCCACGGACGTGATTCGTTGTGGGACGAGTTCAAGAGCTATCGCTCAGTTTCAGCAGTTCTATGCTCCGATGAATGGGGGCAACAAAGCTGGCAGAAGACTGGTGGCAACATAGCTGGAAAATGAGTGATGACAACACAGCTGGCAGAAGAGTGATGACAACACAGCTGGCAGAAGACTGGTGACAACACAGCTGGCAGAAGACTGGTGACAACTTAGCTGTCAGAAGACTGGTGACAACACAGCTGGCAGAAGACTGGTGACAACACAGCTGGCAGAAGACTGGTGACAACACAGCTGGCAGAAGACTGGTGACAACACAGCTGGCAGAAGACTGGTGACAACACAGCTGGCAGAAGACTGGTGACAACACAGCTGGCAGAAGACTGGTGACAACACAGCTGGCAGAAGACTGATGAAAACACAGCTGGCAGAAGACTGATGACAACACAGCTGGCAGAAGAGTGGTGGAAACATAGCTGGTCGATGAGTGGTGACAACATAGATGGAAAATGAGTGGTGACAGCATAGCTGGCAGAAGAGTGGGGAAAATGTACTTAGAATATTTGGGCAATATCGCTGGTAGAAAAGTAGAGGCAATATAGCTTTAAAAGATTAGGGTATCAGTTTTAATAAAATATTTTAAAAAATTATAAATTAATATTTATATTTTTTTAATATATAAAAATAATTTATTAACACTTTTGCAACCCGCAGCAGTAAGAAAGTTTACCAGCTCCGCTCTAGATTCGGGCAAACAGAACCTGCTCCAGAGCTCCGAGCTCTGCTCCCAAACACTAAGCTTTATATCAAATATTTACTATTTTTTTCCACCCATTCCCCATCAACGTATTTTCATTTTTGTTTTCGTGTCGTCAAAACTTTTCTGTACGTGGCGAAGGCCTTTGAATTACATTCCGCGCCAGTAATCGTATACTACAAGTACCAGCTGCCACTGGTCGATTCCAAATAACTGTGTATAGGAGTCTTCATATCACAGTGGTACTGGTGATCAGAGCCTACCGTTTGGCTCCGGCCTGGTTGAGAGGTTCAAATACTTCTCTACTCTTTGGTTCTGGCGTAGATGTGAATTTCGAATGTTTGTTCTCCTGTTTGGCTCTGGCATCCATTTCTAGAAATAGTATGATGCTTTATGGTTACCCCGTCGGTCAGTCCCCATGACCGTGCGTTTATCAAACTTTCTTGACCCATGCCTAACTGGTCAGCTAAAACGTGTGATACCCTCCCTAACCCGATAGAAAAGCTAAAGCATTGCAAACCTATCTCTGAGAAAACATACCGGAAATGTGTTTCAAAGAAATTTTGTCGACGTAAAATTGATCGACGGCAGTTTGGTAGAACGGAAGTTTGGTTGAATTTTTTTTTTCATTTCACAAAATCAAGCTTTCGTCAAATTTCTTTTTGAACGCATTATACTATTATAGTAAAACAAAATTATGCGTTCAAACATAAATTTTGACGTAAAATTAGATCGTGTGAGCCGAAAATAAAATTCGATCTAATTTCCGTTCGACCAAACTTCAGTCGATCAAATGTTCCGTCGAGTCGACAAAATTTCTTTCTAACAAACTTCTGGGATCGCAGAGTGATAGGTAAACCAATTATCTCCTGATAGGATCCAGTGTATGTTGAGAATCACCGCCTTAATCCATACAGAAGCTCTACAATTGGAATGAAATATTTTATAACTTATCATATTTTGTAATATATATAAGAATAAGCTATGCTGACATAACGCTGGAGAACCGAATAGATTTAGATACGTTCGTATTCTTAACAACAATCATAGTTATTTTCTATAATTGTACAGAAATCGAATAAATTTAAATGCGCATAATAACATAAATGCGCTTTTATTTTAGTAAAAGTTTAACTATTATTATTGTAAATTACAAATACATTTAAAGTTATAAATAAGGAACTATTTTAAGCATTTTATCTGAATTTAAAAGTTATGAACACAAAATTTTACGAACATTATGATCTAAGTATTTCATCGTATTCATATTTATCGGGAATACCCAAACATCAATTGTTTTGAGTGCGTTTTTAGTGCGTTATTAATATTGCGAAATAACATTAAAATTAATTTGTTCTAAATTAACACGCAAATGACGTCATAGCACGAATCGTCTATGTTAGCTGAAACTCTTAAATTTCTTTGATTTAGTAACAAAACAAATGGAGTGCAAATTGTTAGTTTTGGTATGGAAAAATTACAAACCGGTGATAGATTTTATTAATTTTATTTAAATCTGGAAATTGGTGGGGTGGTCATTTCGTCCCAGGCAGCACAAGATACGTCTCAAAATAAGGAATGAATTTGATAAATAATTAACCTTCTTTGTTAAATACATATCGGAGGTAGCGAGATTCTTCTTTAGATAAAAGAAATAGTTGTTTTACGATTTTCTGATATTGCATGATTTTTAAAAAAAAACAAGGCTATTCTGTGTTTACATTTTTGATGAAGATATCAATATATCAAATTCCTTTAATATAGAATATTTTTATATCATACAAAGAGTTTTTCTTGTAAATTTAATATTATTTTTTAAAACAATTTTTAGAGAAAAAAAGTTCGGAAATGAAGGCACGAAAAAGAGGAAATCTAAAGTAATTCTCTAACCTTAAAATCATCCCTCAATTAACTTCTTTATTGATAAAAGTGATGTACTTATTGATAATTTAGATTGGGTAATTTAAGATCATTTTTAGAGGGAAAAATTTAGTTTAGGGGCGTGCAAGGGATTGGGGTAGAAGTACTATATGTAACAGATAAACACATCTTAAACTTAATGATGTTAGAAACGTAAATATTATTACATAGATATTTCTTTTTAAAGTTAAGTATTGTGATGAGGTTTTGCAATAGCAGGTGGAAACTATCGCAAAGAACCTACCATTATTACCTCGATAACAACGGGTTATTTATTCTAGTAAATTATATTTTTTATGAAATTGTGTTATAAATGAGACCTACCAATAATTTAAAATTAGACCCCTTTAAAGGAAATTTCAAAGCTGTATACAAAATGATTAATCAGCCTAGGCAGATTATTCGAGACCAATTAATCGGTAATATGCCTATATGCTAATCAGTGCAACCCTAATAAAGAATTTTTTATTTTAACAGGTTAATAAAAATTAAGAAAAGTAAGAAAAAATCCGTACCTTGAGATCGGAAAACAAAATTACATTCCTATTACATGCATTAAGTTGAACAGACTGAACAGCTAGAAACAATAAATTGAACAGACAGAACATTCAGTTAGAAGCAAATACATTCTCACTGTGCATTTCAAAAGATTTTGTTCAAAAATTTTACGCTGCAAACACATGTCAATTTTGTCAAATTTCAGATAGAAACCACACTTGAAGTAGGCTATTTATAGATGTTAACAAAATGTTTTATCCTTCGCAACAACACCTCAATGATGCGTTTGGGACTGGCCTTGACCCAGTCACCTTCATGCTTTTGCGAGTAGCTGAACACGGATTTACAACTGAAGCGGAGTATGTCATCAAGAAGGGGGCTGATGTGAATGACTTTAACATGAGAACAGGAAAAACAGCCTTGGTCCTAGCATCAGAAAATGGACACAACGAAACGGCCCGTCTATTAATGAAGTACGGGGCATGTGTAGAAGGCAAATATTCATGTTTATCACCTGTGGCGCTTGCGGCAGTGAATGGACATATTGAAACCGTGGCACTGCTAATTGAACATGGGGCGAACTTAAACAAAACAGATTTGTTTGATGATAAGTCTGTTTTAAATATAGCCTCCGAGAAGGGATACAACGATATGGTCAAGATGCTCTTAAAAAATGGTGCCAATGTGAACGATGAATCATGTGAGGCTTCCCTGATGTATGCCGTAAGAAACGGACATACAGATGTGGCTGAAACGCTGATAGACGGTGGAGCGGATATCGATTACAAATGCCCAAAAGGTTTTAGTGTATTGGAAACATCGTTGATGTGTGGCCAACAAGATATTGCGAAGCTGCTCATCGAGAGAGGGGCAAAGCTTGATGGTGCGTTAATGCGAGCAATAGCGTGTAAATTTACAGACGTCGTACACATCTTAATAAACAAAGATGTAAATGAAAAGGATACATGTGGAAAGACAATGCTAATAATAGCAGCAACGTGCGGAGAAACAGAACTGGTGACTACTTTGATAGAAAAGGGATCTGATGTCGATGAGAAGGACGATAATGGAATGACTCCACTAATGTATGCGTCAAACAAGGGATTTAAAAATGTCGTTGAAAAGTTAATCGAACATGGAGCATGTATAAATGAAAGTTGCCAACAGGGAATGACAGCTTTAATGTATGCATCCCAGACAGGGTGTACAGATGTCGTTACACTTCTAATAGACAATGGCGCAAATTTAAATATGAAAGCTATGAATGGAGATACTGCTTTAATTTTTGCAACTATAAATGAACATTCCAAAACCGTTGAAGTGTTAATAGATAAAGGCGCTGATGTTCATATTCTGGGGAAAAATGGGATGTCTGCTCGACAAATAGCGATAATAAATATTTCAAATAAAGAAATATTGAACATTTTTATCCAGAAAAGATGTTTGGTGTCTAAAAACATTACTAAAGGACAAATATCTATTAACAAACCAATGGATACCCCAGGAAAAGAAACGAATAGCCCAGGACAAGACACAAATACATCAGGACAAGAAACAAATAACTCAGTAAAAGACACAAATACCCCAGGACAAGACATACATACCACAGGACAAGACACAAATACATCAGGACAAGAAACAAATAACTCAGTAAAAGACTCACATACCTCAGAACAAGACACAAATACCACAGGACAAGAGATGAATACCACAGGACAAGACACAAATACATCAGGACAAGTCACAAATAACTCAAGACAAGACACAAATACCCCAGGACAAGAGATGAATACCACAGGACAAGACACAAATACATCACGACAAGACACAAATAACTCAAGACAAGACACAAATACCACAGGACAAGACACAAATACCCCAGGGCAAGACACAAATACCCCAGGACAAGACACAAATACCCCAGGACAAGACACAAATACCCCAAGACAAGAGATTAATACCACAGGACAAGACACGGATACTATAGGTCAAGACTCAAACATCTTCCGGGAAATCATTAGCATTAACCAATCTGTAGATTCTGATTGTAAAAAAGTACATAGTTTATCAATCGACATTCAGCAACAAACCAAACTAGACGGAAATAAAAAAAAGGGTTTGAGTGAGGGAACAATTGCAAACCACGAAACAACAGATCCCTTGATAAAAGAAAATGAAGAAATGCCATTGTGTGAAACTCATCTCAAACACACAGTTCCGTCAAGGTAAGTTTTCAAGCCCTTTCTCCTCTCATTGTACATGTGCAAATAAAAATAGCTTATAATTTCATTCATTGTTTAGATCAGCATTCCCCAAATAGTGGTCTGCGGACCGGCAGCGGGCTGCAAGAGTTACATTGCCGGTCCGCACAATATGAATATTTATGTTGAAAAAAAGTATTTTTAACATCTGGCACCGGTCCCTGTGGAGGTTTCGAAACGTGTCCACCAATCCACCAAACTTTAAAAAAAAAATGGAAAAAGCTGTTTTAGATGATAAGAATCAGGATTAGCAAAAATTAATCTGACAATTTAGTAAACGCTGATACGTTATCAAACTGTTTTTACTATGTTAATATATATTCTATAACTGAAGTAGAAATTACGTTCAAACGTTTAATCTGTGAGTCTTATCAGTAAAAAATGCCTTTAAACAAATTTATTCTCTAAGGAAAAGAAGACGAACAAATCTGAAACGATGCCAAGCGTTAAACAAGGAGGCGCCTTGTCCTGAAGTTGCCATATGTCATGGGTCAAAGGTCAGCAGTTTGCAAGGTTCCTTGATTCACAGGGCAAAGGTCAGCAGCTCGAAAGATGCCATCATTCACGGGTCAGTGGTCAGCAGTAATAAATCCAGAGGGGATGATAAACGACAGGCAGCTGAATCCCAAACTCTGTTAATTCAAAGTGCTGGTCCATGTACAGATTCAGATAGTTACGACACAGTATCTACAGATACAACTGCCGAGGCTTTAGAAGCTATCCCTGTGACAGAATGTACGCGTATTACTGGGGCAGCATCTCCAGCTATTACTGATTATATCAATCCATATTATACAGAGAGCTCCCGAATTCCACTTAAGACAGCTGAAATGGTGTTGGATGAATCTATAACTAGATCTAACTTCAAAACAAAACAAAGTATGCATGACACAAGTGATGACAGAGCTATCCAACATGATGATGAATGGCCCGAATGTACCTCTAGCGACATGGACAAGTTTCTAATGCAACTTGAAGAGTTTTTAAGGTTTGTACGCGGTCAATTGGCACGAAAATTTTTTTAGTCTCTTTTACTTTTGTTTAAACAAAAAATAATTCAATGTGCTCGCTATGTGTTGTTGAACTTCTACCTCCAAATGCTGATTGCTTAAGTAAACGAAATCAGCACATCCATGTATTAAGGAAATCAGGCCTTCTTTTATGCTACTTGTTTTTCAATACACCAGATGAACATCACGTTAAGATTACAGCTTACAAAATTATCAGTCAACGGATAAAAATAAAAATAAAGTGAGGCCCAAGTCCAATATGAGTTTTAATTACAGTGTACAATTATTTAAAGCCGTTAAAATATGTCTTTACAGTGATCTTAAACAAGAAACTGTCAACACGGGACCACTGCAGGACACTTCGAAAAAATATCTCCCTCAACAAAATCCTATCATTTTCAAGTAAGTGAATGAATATCTAACTGTCTTATTATTGTATGTTTATTCCTACAGTTATCTAACATACTGAAATGTATTACATTTTCTTCATGTTATTTGTTAAAAATGGCAAAAGAGGGGAACAAAGAAAAGTTAAACCTGAAAAAGGGAACGCAACAAAAACAATGAAGCTGTTTTTTCTGTTGTTTGTTCGCTGACGAAGGTTTCATGTCGACATTTTCGTTGTTTTTTTTTGTGCCTTTGTTCAGGGTTAAACTTACTCTGTTAACACTCATTTCATATTGTGCTATCCTGTTTGCAGTCTCTGCCCTTATTACTTATTTGTTAAAAACTAGCATCAATTAGATACAGATCAGCCATGATCTCGCTCGAATGTTCCACGTTTGTGGCTGATTTCAAAATGTAGGACATTCCAATCCCCCAAACCCTCCAACTAGTCTCCAGATTGTTTAGATCACACGTCTGTTCTTAGGCCTCTTCCTTGTCTATAGACTGTTTAAATCATCCATCTGTTCTTTGGCCTCTTTCCTATATATATATATATTTATGATTAATTTTTTAAAAATTAAAAATAATTCATTAATGTAACAGGTTAATCATTTGTTTGTGTCGTGCCTTACAGGTTGTATCATATAGATCGCGTGGATCACGCTCATCTGCAGAATCCATTGTATGTGAACATTACAGACACCACGTATTGTGTCATAGACGAGAAGACATGACGCAAAGATCAACATAACTATGTTAGCAAACAATCTGAAATTGAACATTCCTTTGTTGGTACAATTGTCTTGGTTTAGTTTACTCCCAATCATAACATTTGCAAATAAAATATATACTTTTGTATGTTTAAGTTTTTCTATAATTGATAAATGTTAAGATATGAATATGAATTGAAGTGTGTGTTCTTTTTTGCTGTTTTAATTTTTAATGTAAAGTGATTCTTATAAATAGTATCATTATGTTTAATACATCGCCAATTAGAAAAGGTGTCATTTTTAAAAAAAAATTTACAACAATGTCCTGAAAATTTACCTTTGTTTCCAAGATTATTGTAGGGAGCATTAAGGAAAGTTGTCATCCTATGAGAAGTAATTCTTAAAATGTGTAGAAACATTCTTACGTCACTGAAAATCAAACATCACAAGTATTTTGATATGTTCTATACATCTCTGCTGACTTCTAGTGCGTTCCTGTCTTGAATGTGTACTAGAAATATTTAATGTTATATCTCATTTCAAGAATTTAAAAATGAGAATGGTGAATGAATTTCAAAGAATGCTATCTGATTGACTCTGCTTTGATTGTCTTTGCTCTGAATGTCCTTCATCTATCTGTCCTTGCTCTGATTGTCCTTGCTCCGATTGTCCTTGCATTATCCATAGTTCCCTGAGACAATATCTTATTTCAATTAAAAATCATTTATTAGTTTGCTTTGAATTGTTTTTAACACATGTAATCTTTTAACTTAAGGGAGATTTTTTTACAGATTAAATTTAAAAAAAAGATCAGTATTCTATCCAACCATTGTTTACAATACATTCATTATCTCATTGCTTGCCATTAAAACAGAAAAATTTTGTTTATTAAAAACTATAAATAACATGACTTGATTTTGTTCCCTAAAATTTTGACGTTGCTGACATGTAAAAAAAAAAAAAATAACGAAGTCGAATATTTTTTAATACAATCAATTATTTTATTTATTAGACAATTAATTTTTCAAAAAATAAAAAAAAAAAGTTCACAATTTTTTTGTTGCGGAAACAAGACTAAGACTAAACGTTATGAAAAAACCTGTACAAGTTATTTCTCTGTTTAAAAAAACAAACAAAAAAACTAACAATCTTTATATTTAAGTCAAAAGAATGGGAGGGAGAGCAGCTTGTAATATTTTAAGGTAACCCACCTTTCCCAGGTAATAGTTTACCACTTTCTCCCCATTGACAACAAGTGGTCAGGTGTTTAAAAGACGTTAAGCATTACAACAGCTGAAAATTTGCATGAAGGCTGCATCACGAATTTACTCTGCCTTAAACGGGCCATCCATAAATGAAGTCACCGGGGGAGGGGGGTGTCAAAACTCCCTCCAACCAATTTTTAAAAAAAAGTAATTAATATATTTTCTAGTTGAAAATCGAGCAGAAAGCTGAAAAAATGAACTGATTTTGGTCAAATAGCATTTTGATTATCATGCCAATTCCATGGGGGGAGGGGGGGGGCGGGAGCCTGAGCAAAAACCCCCCCCCCCCACAGTATTATTCAATGAA